ATTATCCCTCTGCACATGTCAAAACCATCACAGTCTTGCCTCTAATGTTCACCTGAGGGTATGGCAACAACTTTATCCCTCTGTAGTTTAGATACAGCTTTGCACATCACCCCTGTTCTTGAAAACTAGCACTAGTCCTGTGAAATAACACTAAATTAGCGTTTTTACATCATGTGACAGTGTAAGAAAATGAATTTCCTGTTTTTTTTATGCACATATACATATTTAGAGCAATATTCCTGGGAAATCTTTCATGCTTGGTGAAAAATGAAGTAAATACCTTGTGAAGCTGTCTTGTTGGTTGTTAATGAATCCTCTGCAGAAGAATGTTTGATCCAACTCTGACAGCTTAGCTGAGACTCGTGTGGGGTGTATGTCGCTGCTGATAAACATGCAAATCCACAGGAAGTTTGTAAAAGTTAAAACATGAGAGAGCATTCTATGATGGTTGGGAGCATGAGGGTTTGCAATGCCCTCATGCAAAATTTGGACTGCAACATATTGCATCAAGAATGCAGCATTATTTTTCTAAAAGCAAAAGACATGTAATATTAGAACATATATATTCTTGTGAGAGGGCCACAGTGTAACACGGCTAACAGCTGGCTGTTTTGCTATTTAACACCATTATCTTTCTGTTGCAACCTTGGGTTTGGTGAGTATCAAGTCATGAAATATTCTGAGGACAACCAACCTGTTTCCATAATCAGTAGCATATAATATAATTCAGTAAATAAAAGCAAAATATTAACTTTCTAACTTATTGTCCCTATGCCTTGGGTGTTTATTTTGTTTTTGTTTTTATTTGCAAGAAACATAAAAAATACTTTATGTTCATGATTAGTGATTTTTAAAGTTCTTCAGGTTTATAGAAAAATATCTGATGTATCTGGAGTTCTACAAATATGTTATTTAGTAATTTAGCAAAGCTCTTTTTTTGTGGATGAATTCACTAAAGATTAATGAAACAGTTAATGGATGATATGTCACCCCTTATAAAGAACTAGATCTACAGGAAGTTTGCACAACATTTAAAATGAGAATGTTTCTATTCCTTTTCAGTGATGCAGTATGGGGCTCTTATCAGCATCCGGTTTTGCAATCTTGATAAAATACTTTTTAAGCTGAAGGCCAGCTGTCCTTTTCTTGTGTCTGCACAATATTCTCACGAAAAAATTAAAAAAAAAACTCCATGTGGAAATGTAACTAATATGTCAACTTCTCAAGGAATAGCAGCTGAAACAGCATCTGTAACAACAGAGGATAATTTATTTAGGGTCTGACAGCAGTTTAGCATCTGTGTCCAGATGCTCATACCTTTTTTCTGGACTGTACATTCTTAACAGCTTCAGATCATCATCATCATCATCATCATCATCATCATCATCATCACCACCCTTCTTACATCTGCCATGCATTTGGGATTTAAAGGAAACTTAACTCAGTCTAACAATTACCAAAATTTGACCCTTTGAGCGAGTATGGTTAAATCTGATTTTCTGTTCCTTTTAACTTATGATCAGAATTGAGACAGAGAATTTTTTTTGCGTCAGTTACAACACCTCTACTGATGTTGTATTACAACTCATTTCTGCTTAACCCTGAAATATGTGCATTGAGTCCTTTTCCATTCCATGAAAAACAAAACTATAATGTCTTCATGGCAAGAGGATGTCACTAAATACTCCTTGAAATAAAAATGTAGAAGCTAACCAGCAAACCTAACAAAAAAGAAAGTGTATCTATATAGAGTGCTATATGAAATTTATCTGTGAGCCAAACACTCAGTGGTCCAGAAGAAGATGGAGCAGCTGCTGCTCGCCCTCCGACATGATAGCAGGACAGCATTACACTACTTGTCTTGAAGACCCAAAAGGAAAGTCTCCTCACTAGCAGGAGATTTAATAATAGTGTCATTAAGGTGTATCAGGTGTAAAATTTACACTGTTGGCTCACACAAGCTCTGCCAAAGCTCCAGACCACATGAGCTCATAGCCCATGAAACAGTCAGGCATGAAACAGTTATAAATCGACAATATAATAATACTTTAAAGTAAAAGTAGAGCATATTTTCTGGAACTGCAGTTTCATTACAACATGACACAGTTATACAAATAATAATAATAATAATAATAATAATAGTAATAATAATAATAATAATGAAGCGCACTCTCTGGACTATTCTCTTTTAAGTGAATAGTATTGCATTTGGTATATAAAGTAAGTAATAAATAATAGGCACTGAATTTTGCTTCTAATCTATGGAAGAAAAACATTCACTGATTCTAATCAACAAGAAGGATTCCCCTGCCACCTACAGATCAGTTTGAGGTATATTGTGTTGATATCCCTGGAGCTACAAAGGAGTTGATTCTATGGGAGTTTGCAGTTTAACTTTGAGTGGGACATTTACATGATAATCCGTCCATCCATTTTCTTAACCAGTTCTCAATCAGTGGACAAAGAAAGAAATGAAGAAAGATTATATTTATATTTTCCATAAATCATGAAGGTTGGGGTTAGGATTCAGAGCTACAGTTAAGGTCATCGCTGATGTTGACTTAGGTGTCAGAGGGTTGACCTTTGCCTATCTCCATTTTATTAACTGAATAATAGTCTTTGACACCTGATTTCTATGAGACTCAGACCAAAAGTGCCTTTCTTTATGACGCATAAAGCAACTAAACTCATTTAAAAAAGATGGAAGAGTGAAGAAAAAAGAAGGAAAAAGAGGAAAATATGTAAAAGATACTAGTAGTAACTGAGTTTTATTACATAAAATAGCTTATCAAACTCCATTTATTTACCAGCAGCCTGACTTCTTGACCAGAATACACTTACAGTGACAAAAAGATGGGGGTTTACTGGCTGATTTGTACCCAAGCATGTTGCTGCAATTACATCATTAAAAACTGCAAATCAGCCCGTCTGTGCTCATGTCTTCTTCTCAAGACTGCTGCACTATATCAGTAAAGCAAAAGCGTAAAGAGTCCCTCTGCTGGACAGACATATACAGTGCAATAAAAAAAGCATTCGCACACTTCCTGATTTGGAAAGAAAAGCAACTGGACTTCTTTAAGTTGCTTGAAGACGTTTCACCTCTCATCCGAGAAGCTTCTTCAGTTCTAAAGGGTCAAATGGTGGAGAGTCCCAGATTTAAACCCAGTGGGAGTATCCTCCCAAAGAGGGATAAAGGACCCCCTGATGATCCTCTACCTAATCACACGAGCCAAGGTGTGAAAACGGGTGTTTATTGGGGTGTTTTTTGCATTCATATGTTTTAGTTACTTAAGATTACCAATTGTTCACCTAAATTTCTGTCATGAATTACTGTATTGCAGGAATTACTATACAAAAACAATACAAAAGCAGGAGCCAGGAACTAACAATCCAGGAAGGATCAGAGAAAACACAGCTTTGAGGTAGAACATGACAAAGAACACAGGGAGGCTTAGACAATAAATACACAGCAGGTAATGAGGCTGCTGTGTATTTAAGGGAAAATAGGTGGGAAACATAACACACATGGGCAAATAGACTTAACTGTGACAGTCCTGGGTCAGTTTACCCAGTGTATATATTTTGGCCAGAGGTTTTATTTATTTAATTATTTATTATTTTTAAATATATTTTTGTTATTATTTATTTTATTTTTTTATTTATCCATTGTGATCCCTGGTTTGTTAAAGGTTTATATTCACTTCATGTGTTCTTTAGTGTTTTTAGGTTTGCTCCTAGTTCTCAGTTGGTTTAGAGTTTAGCTCTTTTCCCAGCGTTTCATCCACCGCAAAGTCCATTCACATGTCTGCGGTTTCCCTATTTAGTTCTGTCACTTCCTGTTTTATTTTGGAGGTTGTGTTCCTTTTTCATTGTCTTAAATTTTGCTTCCTTTCTCTGGTCTGTTATTCTCTATTCTGTTCTATTTGTTATCTTCACTGCTGTAATCACCCTTTTAAGTATATATAGTTATTGCCTTCTCCTTGATCTTTTTCAGAGTGTCAGTTCATTTTCCCCTCTTATTTTCCAGCTCCAGCACTCCCTTGCCTAGTATTAGTTCTCAGTTTAGGTTTCAGTTTCTTTTTTCCCTTTAGTTCTTTTTTTGTACTTTGGTCATCAGCCAGTTTTTTGTTTACTGCATCTACCTGTGAGTCTGAGTCAAAAAGCTCAAATAATCTCAAACAGCTTTATTAAACATGACAGTGAATTAGATGACCTCCACAGTCGCCAGATCGCTCCAACAGAGCATCTTTGGGTTTTACATAATGGATGTGCAACCAACAAATGTGTAGCAACTGTGTGATGCAATCATGTCAATGTCCTCCTGAAAAACAGAATATTCATTTATGTCCTATTTGAACTACCCTGTTAAGGCCTGATCTACTAAATAGAGGACATCCTGGGCTTTCCATTGACAGCTTGTGTGTTTGGGTGGCTTCTTTTAGCTCCAAAGAGGAAGGAAGTCTTAGGAAAAAGTTCAATGAGTAGATTCTTTTTGATATGGATCAAAATTTCCAATGTTTTATCCACTGCCTGAGAACTTCACTGTAACACACTAAAGAGGGGAAACAGATTGGAGCCTACTGACTGATTTAAGGCCTTTAATTGTGCAAAGTGGTTTAAGGCAGTAATCACTCGATTAAAAGCTACAAATCAGTCAGCATGAGCTTATCTTTATCTTTCAACACTTCTCATCAAAGGTATAGCAAAATAATGTTATTTTAATAACTACTGTGTTTCTCAGTATCATCCTTTAACCCTCTCAGGCTCAAATTAAACTTTTTGTTGCTAATGCACAACCAAGTCCTGCAGTGGTACTTCTGAGTAAAAAAAAACCTCATAAAATATGTATGTGGGGTAATCAGGTTGTTAGTTTTTAACTGTTGCAAATCAGCAACACCTGCCTTGAGAGGGTTAAATATTCAGTAGAGGGAAATAAGTTGTTTTCTGCATTCATGTTTTGATAATGAAATGAGATGTAGGTCGACATTATCAGTGGGAAAGCATTAAAGCCAAAAATGTTTTATTGATGCAAATAATGTTGACAGAAATATTCACAATAGTAATACAATACTTATAGACATTTAAAGACAAGTAGATTTGGCCATTTGGGATTAAAAAAAATTAAAAAATACATTTTTTTCTTATAGTGGAATCAAGATTATATAATGTTGACGACATGCTTACCAAACTCATAACATTTTTACCGATTGGATGATTATTCATTTGATAGATCGAGGACTGGCAACAAGACTGACAACTGTTCCTTCTAGTTTAGTTGTTGAGGTAAACCTCCAAAAGGCTGATTTTATCTCTGAAATGTAAAAAAATGTAGATTTGTAGTCTTTTTGGTTACAAACAGAATTAATTAATATTTGAAGAATTATAGCAATACTTATGAAGGCCACAGACATTGACCTCTCACTCCCTATCAGCTTTCCAGTGGTTCTATAGTCAGTATCTATCCATTAGATCTGTTGTTCATTATGCTCAAATAAATAAATACTAGAATAGATTTCTGTCAAATGAGAATTTGATTACAGGGTTACACATTTTACTTTCATATGTACCTAAAGGTGCCATTTGTTTTCAATATTGTGAGCCAGTTTTGTCATTTACAATCATAATTGTTATCAGTTAGTTCAGTGGTTCAAAACTTTTATTTCAAACTCCACCATTTATACTGGGCAGAATCAGTTTTGTAGATTCATCTAATTTAAATTCTGTTGTATTTATGTATTGACAAATCATAACAAGGGTCACCTCTAGGTGCTTATTTACAGGGTAAAATTTGATAGGTTAATTAACAGGACAATGTATTGTCTAGCAAGAAGCACAGTCTTTATTACTATGTCAGTGATCAGTAAAACCATAAGTTAAGGCCTATTCTTGAACTGGTAATGCACTTCTAATCTGGTTTCTTTTATGTCTCATGCAGAGAAGAAGAAATTTACTGGAGTGTGAACAAAAGATGCTTCCTTCCTACAGATGATACATTGGTATTGCTTGTGTTGCATGAATTCAACCACAAACAAATTACCAATTCTGAAACTAGTTTCTCTTCTCGAAAAATTTGCAGATCTTTTTATACCCTGAGTCTGAGAAAGTGTGACAGCAAAACTAATAAAACATCACACCTACCATAGATCGATACATTTAACTCAGATTGTGAACACCTTAGAAGTAACACGCATCTCATTTCAGGTGTTGCTACAAATACTAAATAGTTGCCACTGAAACAATTTTAACCATCCTCAATGCTTTAACACATAAATGAATTGCAAGCTTATTGTACAGTATCACTAAAACAAAGTCTAAGAGGCTGTAGCTGAGAAACACTCTGCTGTCACAACAAAAAAGTGAAGATAAAGAGGAAATCCTCCTGTACACCTGACAGATTAACTCTTTTGATTAAGAGAACTTTTGATTAAAAGTTGTTTAAAAGTGATTTGTTATACAGTTATTTCTACTCAGAAAGTTTATTCATGTCTTTAACGGCCTTATAACTCAGCATCAGAAAATGACTTATCTTTGCTGCGAGTGGTGACCATTGAGTTTGTATAGGTGTATGAGCGAGAAACCTCTTCCTGGAAGGCACTCTCCAGCACAATCAGGATGGATTTGCGGACTTTATCTTTAAAATCCTGGCCCATGAACACATACAGCAGTGGATTCAGGCAGCTGTTGAGAAAGGCCATACTGGTGGCTATTGGTAACCCAATTATGGTGATATCATCTAATATCTCACTTGAATATTCTGGCATGTAATTTGCCATCTCAATTAGACCCATGATGTGAAAGGGAGCCCAGCAAAGAAAGAAAGTGATGATAATGGCAGCGATGATCTTAAAGGGGCGACTTGACTGATTGGCCAGTGTGCGGTTTCTTCTGAGACGATGGATTATAACAGCATAACAGGAGACAATGACAGTAAAGGGCACAACAAATCCCAGTAGGAAGCGTGTGAAAATCATGGCCTGATGACGAAACAACTGAGTGTCATTGTATGTGTCTTCATCATCAGAAAGAGCAAAGTTGTTGAAGCAGTTGATGATATCCTTATTGTGGTACGATGGCCCGATGTCCCTGAAGATGAAGTATGGAGCACTGAGAATCAAAGCCACCACCCAAACACACAGACTCACATAGGATGCCTTGCGTACATTTCGGTGGTTCTGAGCCCAGACGGGCCACACCACAGACACACATCTGTCCACACTGATCACCACCAGAATGTAGACACTGGCAAACATGTTCAGAAAGCTGATAGTGGTGTTCAGCTTGCACATGAACTTGCCAAAAGGCCAGTGGAAATCCAAAGCTGTGTAAGTCACACTGAGGGGCAAAAACGCAGTGAAGAGGAAGTCAGCCACAGCAAGGTTGAGGAACCAAACTGTGTTAACAGTTTTCTTCATCTTGAACCCGGTCACCCAGATAACCACTCCATTCCCGAGCACACCGAGGACAAAAGCCAGGGAGTACACAACGATAGACATGGTGTTCAGAGAATGTCTCAAATCGGCGTGGTCGTTTCTGTAGTCATACTCTGTGCTTTCATCATATATAGAGCCATTACTTCCAAAGTCATCTGTTCCATTAAAGAGATTTGGAGGGGTGCCAGTCATTAACTCCATCATTGTCTTTGAACCTACAACACAAACAAACATGAATATTAACCTTTTTAGATTTTCCTGAGATTACTAATGACCAACAAAGCAAAACTCTTTAAATTGAAACATAGAAAGCAGTTCAGTCAAATAAAAAGAAAGAAAGGTTGCCTTTATTTCATTCCCCCCAAAATCATACCGAAACATGACATAACTCCAACATGCCCTAAACAGGGCAACTCCATTATCCACCCATTTAGTGCACCCTAAAAGTAATTAGAGCAAATATTAAAAGCATTTTAATAAAGTTTACTTCTGCGTGCTTTTTAAAGTTTAATTTAAAAAAGCTCAAACCTCCTCAAGTTTTGTGCAGCGTGCATGTGCAAATTTCCCACTGTGTTAAAAATCACATGAACGTAAGTTGGGGTTTTTTGGGGTGTTTTTTTTTTTAAAAAAAGGAGAGAAAAATACGGAAGAGGATTTAAGGTTTAACCACAGATAACTACATGCAAGAAACAGTTCCCACGTATGAAAATATGGCTATACGTAATAATACTTACATTTAATACATATAATACGTTGCTAATTGCATAATGTTTATATAGTTCACGGCTCCACAAAACAATTAAAAAGCCCAGTTCCCGACGTTTTTCCAAAAAAAAAAAAAAAAAGCCCAACCATTCTAATGTGAGATGCTTCGCAGAAACAGTGTATATTTCTTACATTTAATTTTCTTTTCCTACTTTTTCCCCCTTATTTTTCTTCGTCTGAATAACAAAGCAGAAAAAACTACAATCCTACCTCTCTCGGCGACCCACTCAGATCTCTTATGTCGAACACCCTCCCTTTACCTCCGACTGGGCTTTGAAAAAGCTGGAGCTCAGATCGCGGAGTCGTTAAATATGTGACGTCAAATCTGGGACGGGGTGCTGAGGTCCCGCCCTCCAACTACCATAACTCTCACCGACAATGAACTTAAATTAACTTCTCGAACTTTTGATTTCCATGCATCGCAACATATTCTAATGCACAGTGCTAAACCAGCAGTTTGTCAGTGATGACTTATTAAATCTGTCCACGCAGAGTGGAGATTTAAGTGTGAGTTTAAATGTGTTGCCTGCACACATTAAATCCAACCCGACAGTGAAAATGATGCTCTAATCCGCAAGAACTGCGCTAGTGCTTCACTAAAACTCCTGCAAGATTTTCTTCAAATGTCTGCCACAATTGTCTTCATTTTTCTTCGGGAAACTCCAAAAGTGAAAACCCTGAGTAACCAAACAACTAAATGTATAAATTGTGGGTTGTTGAAATGACTACCTGAGAAGGAGTGGAGCCTGGACTTCTCATACGCCCACCTGGGCTCCTGCTGCGTAATGTGTTTTTCTCTGCGTAGGTTGAGCTCATGTTTGCTTGTGGTTAAGTGTAATTGCTCTGTGTTGTTGACTGATTTGACATCTTTGCATGTTGGTATATGCATCTCCAGCCTTCCAGCATCTGTCAGTATCTGTTGCGCTTCTGTAGATAACAACCCGCAAAAAACAAACAAACAAAAAAAAAAATGATACTGGAAGCATTTTGGATATTTCAGTTATAAACTTGTTAGAATCAAATAAGCAAACTTTTACTTGTTAAGTAGACTTCATTTTGTTGACCTGTAAATTTTGGATGGACTTTCAAGTTAAACACACTGGGATATGATGCAACACTTTTGGTCACACATCACTGAAATCCATGTATTTCTGAGGCATTTTACATTTAGTGTATATGCCAAAAAAAAAAAGAGAATGGGACCAGCAATCAACTCTAGACCTGATCACATGCCTTAAAAAAAGAGGAATTCACACAACTACCCTGGAGCAAACCTAAACTGTAATCCAGAGCAATTTCATTCATGACATCTATCTGGCACGTTCCTCTTCTTTGCACTTTATGTGTTTTCTGTTGTACTTTACGTGACTCTTGAGCTTCGAGAACTGAGAACTCATCAACAGTCATTCTTTAAATCAGTTTACCTTATTTTCTATGCTTACATCAACCACATCTGGACCATCAAACTGAATTATGACAATATCCAATTAATCAAGTTTCAGGAAGAAGAGGGCTGAATAGTAGATATATATAATAAGTTCAAGATGGTGGATCTAGGGAACTTTTAGCCACAAACATCTCACATCCCCCGAGTAAAGCCCTACCTTTCACTTGGGGTGGGGGATGTTCATCTGAGCTTAAATTCATACTCATATTTCCTCCCACATGGGCTCCCGCTACTCTTGGTTTTGTTGTTCTGCTATCCACACATTTCTACATCTGTGTTTTATGTTTAGGAGCTCATCGTGTGAGCATCAATACTTTGTCTCTTCACCTTTCACATGGCCTAACTCTAAAGTTGCAGCTATACTGTTTTCTAAATTGGCTGCTAGCAGATTTTAATCCTCTGAATCAACCTGAAATACCCTCCCAAAATATCAGTCTCTAAAACAAATATTTGTAGCACCAAAAGAAACTCTGATGATACTAATAATTCAGGAAAACATCAAGCTAGACAATGGCGGTTATAATAAGTGAACTTGTTCTCACAGTAAAGCACAACGAGTTTTAACTCCTTCACCGATCAGATTCACACAGTTCAAGCTTCTGCTAGAACCTGCCCAACCCAGAAACTGGGTCCCCCTCTAATGTACACACATCACACAGGAACTGGGTCCTGCCAGAAGTCCAGATGTGAGGGGGAGGAAGAAATGACAGAAAGTTGTGGGAGGGACAGAGGGAGGAAGAAACACTACATGTGTGCGTGTATGTGAAGATGGATGTGCTCTCAGTCTCTGCGTGTGTTCAGAACAACACCCTGATTTGAGTGTGTGGGAGGACCCATGAGTCTATTTTCTTTTCTTTTTGTCTTTTTAGTAAAAAAAAAAATCCCCAGTGAGCGATACCTGATGCTCGGACCAAACTCATTCCATTAGCTACAGGAAACTGCTCGCATCTTTTCATCTCCCTTAAACACAACATTAAGCTGTTCAGCTCCAAAACTGAAGTACATGCCTGTTTTAGCTGAAGTCTAGACAGCGTTTAATTTTATCACGGTTCTCTTGAGCAATGCATCCACTATTTTTCTGCAAAAATGTGTGTGTGTGTGTGTTTTCCCCATTTTTCTGCTGTGCTGTTTTGTTACAGAACTTTAAGGCAAAGCATTTTGCTAGAGTCTGTAGAGGATATTAATAGCTATCTCAGGGCTATAGTTTGAGGGAAGCTTTCAGAGCCCAAGGCTTGATTTACCAACCAAACCTGCAATTATGTGTATGCCACACAAATACCAATTTGGGTGTGTAGAACAACCAGTGGAGGTTTAAGGAGAATACAGATTTAGCAGAGTGTGATGCCCACTGTTGAAGTTTGGGGAGGGGGGTTATTATTTAATACAGCAGCTGTGAGCAACTGTTCTGGAAGGCACACCAAACATATATGTACATTTATACATGTATCTTTCCCTGTCTGTGCATGTGTGCGCCTTTGTGTGTGGGATAGTGAAGTACTAATGACATACTGCAGCTTCCAGCGTCACTGTAATACACCCAGTATTTTGCTTTTGAGTGCAAAACAGTGTGACCTTGCAACTTTTCTAAACTCTAAAGAGGAATGTGTAAATTCCCGAGTTGTTTCACGGGGGAACATAAGTGTTGAAACTTCTACACCTCCATTACACTGCCATAAAGTCACAAACAGTGGGAATCTGCTGTGTCTTGCAACCTCAAAGGTTTGTTGATCTTATTGCGGTGCTGACTGGAAATCAAACCCTCATCTCACTTGTGCGGAGAGGTCAGGAATTTTGTTTTTTGAGTCAAAACCCGTGCCAACTGTTTTTGCTCATAAGGGTAGGAAATGTTATTTTTTTTTCCACAAATAAACCACACACAGGGAAAAAAGCTGCACCTCAGTAACCAAAACCACTTCCTTACATTCGTCCCCACTTTAAACCGCAGTCCCCCTCAGCAGACCTAGTGAATATGAATACTCAACCTTAGCTCTGTCTGACAGAAAACAAGCATGGCACTGCATAAGTCATACAGATCTGACACAGTGCTCTCTGTCTTGTCCGTCTGAGAGTGTTTTGAGGTAAAGTGGAACGGGATTAGGGGAACCGGAAGTGGTTATGCAGGCAGTGCCAGATGGTGAAATAAATGGAAGTTTTTATGCTTTCCATATAATCTAAGCAAGCGTTAGGGTAGCAAATGTGGAAAAACAGATGCTGCGGTGTTGGAAATAACTGGAGGTCAATGACAGTCTTAGGCTGCAGAGAAAGCAGCAGTGAACTTTTTTTTCCTTTCTTAATTACTTAATTCATCCAGCTGATCACATCCTGAATGATGTCTTGCAGATGTGCAACTAAACAGGCATCTGGCTATCATATGTGAGGCTGTCACAGATTTGAAACTTTCCAACAGTTAAATCAGCGACTTTGGGACTTAGTCTAATAAATACCACTGTGGGTTGCTGTGATGTCTTGCAGTGTTGTAACTTCTTTTGATATTGCGATGAAATTTGTCAGCAGGTCTTGTAAAATCTAGACCGAGAAGAGGTAAAGTGCTGCTCATATCGGGGAACAGATAAGCAGCCTGATGTGTTTTTGACTTTGGTGAGTAAGTCCAGTAAGTCTACCAGCAGAACCAAGCAGCTGTTTCCAGTCAGAAAAAGAAGAAACGAAGATACAGGTTGGACGAGGAGTGAAGCAGACTATGCGAGTGTCTCATAGCAATGACAGGGTGAAGAACCTGCCTGTGCTGGATGGGAATGCGTTATATTTTAACCTTAAGTGTATAATCACAGGGTTTGGGTAAATGGGCCCTAACATTTCAATGTTTTCCTGTCTGGTGCTGATAAACACCTACGCTCACACATGAGTAACAGAGCTTTGTGCTTTTCAGTATATCTCTATTGTGAAATTATGACTCAGCAGTGTTGGCTTAATATTTTTGTTTAATATTTTAAACTGGACAGATTAAAATGATTCACTGATTTCCCAAGGAACCAGACAGACTGTGTATCAAGAGCTTAATACTCCAGCAGCACTTGTAATTGTGTCTCTTGATGGAAGTACGTGAAGTTGTGCCAGAAAATTCTACTCTGTACAGTTTCAAGACAGGATTACTTTACATTTTCTAGATTTACTTCTTTAATTTGCTGTGTTAGTAGATATTACTAAAAAGAAGAGATGAAAGGAATACTTTAAAGGTCAAAAGGTGACATTTCAGTCCTTCTTCTACTTGTTCTTCTTCCTTTTTTCCTTTAGAGGCCAACTGCCCACATTACACCCGATCACTAGAATCTTTCTCTGTCCACCAACCTTCTGCATGTCCTCCTTCACTACCAACATTGGGGTATTGAAGTAGTGAAGTGGGGTTTTATCATCATTCAATAAAAGTTGTGTATTACACATTCCTTATAGGCCTACTTCTCTTAAAAGTAATGGTGTTTGTTGCTTAATTGCTCCCCAGAGAAAGTTACTTGGTACACTACCTATTAGATTACTTTTACCTTCTGTATTCTGTAACATGACCTGAAATGCATTCTAACATAATAACCAGTCCCACAAACAAAACACAATCCGTTTTCTAATGAGGACACACCTTTGATCTTTATTGGGGGTCTATGTGTGACCACAAAACTTACAAAAAAACCCAACCAAAGTTGAAAAGCAGCTCAAAGGGACTTCAAAGCGATTGTCACTGTGATGCTAGTGTGGAAACGTCTGCGTACACTCAGTTTCTTCAGTTGTGACACCAGCACCACACACCATGGTTCCTTTGCTAACTTTGTGTTAGCGTGCTGTCTGTCCAGATGTTTGCAAAGATCTGAAACTCTGCTAGCAGGATAATGCAGTTCTTTCTGTCCTATATGCAGCTATTATCCTTAGATGCAATAATAATATCACTACCATCTTGTAAACCTTCCCTTTCTCTCTTGCTGCTGTCATTCAGTCACAAATCCCCCCTGACACTCATCTCCAGGCAACAAATTTCTTATTCTACCTTAAATGAAAAAGGCTAACATTTATAGGTTAAATATTGCCACCTTAGTTCTCTTTAAATGCATTTTTTGCTGTCTTTGTGCTGAAAAATGGTACGTGAGCATCTGTAACCACATGAGCTTCACCCACATGCACAGTCATAACTTCCATTGACGTCACTCTGTGGGTCACTTGAAGGCAGTGCATGTCATGTAAAGTATTCAATTTATGATAAACCTGCAATAAAAAGTATAATGTCACATGACTGTTCTGTGAAGAAAATGTATTTAGGCAAAAGAGAGCTTTAAACATGCTCACGTAATGCAGCACAAAGGAAATAAACAAGAATGCACACTGTAAAGTGTAGCACTCACATTGTTTCCTAATCCAAGCTATGTTCTAACTTGTATTGAACTGCTGTTTTGTTTCTCCTATATAGTGTACTTCAAGCACAGTATCACTGGGGAAATGTAACACCTGTTTAGTGTCTGAGGCGTGCCTCTGGTGGCCCTGAGAAAAGACAGATAAGAGGGACTGAAATACCTGAAACCAGGAGAATTAGGGTACATTGATCTGCCAGTGAGAAAAACAGAAGGCATGAAGCTTTTCCTTCTCCTGATTCTCTCTGGAGGGGCAGGTATAAAATCTAATTTATAGATTCAAATGACGAACACTCAAGTGTTAAGGATAGGATGCCGAATCACTGATAAAATAATTTTCTGATTTTGCCACTTATTTAATTGTATTTTTTTTACTCTACAGTTGCGCTGGAAGGAGATAACAAGATTGTTGGAGGATATGAGTGCCCCAAGAACTCTGTGCCCTACCAAGTGTCACTCTTCACTGGGTACAACTTCTGTGGGGGGGTTCTTATCTCTGATGAGTGGGTGCTCTCTGCTGCACACTGCAAACCAAAGTAAGGCACACAATCCCCATCAAGCCTGAATCCAAGCAGCTTTAAACTTTAAAATGAAGTCGGGTGTAAGAAACTCTCAAAGTGGGCTTTGTTCTTTCAGCTCAAATCTAGAAATTCGTCTGGGGGAGCACAACATCTGGGAACCTGATGGGACTGAACAGCACATCATGTCTGCTGAGTTTATTCGCCACCCTGACTACGATTCCCGTACACAGGACAGCGACATCATGCTGATCAAACTGAGTCGACCTGCCGCTCTGAGCAGCTACGTGCGTCCTGCTGTGCTTCCTTCAAGGTGTGCCAGTGAGGGGACAGTGTGCCAGGTCTCAGGATGGGGGAATCTTCGTCCCAGCGATGAGGGCTGTAAGTTAAACTGTGCTATACAGCCTATCTGTGTTGCTTGAACAGGCAGTCAACTCAGGTATTTTTAAAGATATTGATCTGTTTGTGTCTTTGCAGCAAGATACCCAGATAAGCTGCAGTGCCTGGAGGTCCCTCTCCTGAGTGATGACACCTGCTTTAACGCATATCCTTTCCAAATTACTGAAAACATGATCTGTGCTGGATATCTGGAGGGAGGGAAGGACTCCTGCCAGGTAAGATCAAAACAGGAAATGTTTATGCGCCGTGATAAAAAGGTTGAACCACTGAAAAATCATTTATTTTAACTCCAGGGTGACTCAGGGGGCCCATTGATGTGCGACGGAGAGCTCCAGGGAGTTGTGTCATGGGGGCACGGCTGTGCACAGAGGAACAAGCCTGGGGTGTACACAAAAGTTTGCAATTATGTTTCCTGGATTAAGAACACAATGGCATCTGAATGAACAGAAAAGATTCATGCCAGCTGGTTAATTTCAGTAAAGTCATCTACATGATGTGTGGTGTGTACATATATGTCTGTTTGTGCGTCATTTGAAGTTTCTAAAAAGAGAACACGTGTCTGCCTTGTGCTTAATATTTTCCCAGACATACGAGTTCTCTTTTAGACCTTACCTAGCAGTAAAGTGACAGGCAATGTGCTAAAACAAGTGTGTCCAAAGTATTTGGCTTTGAAAAGCCCACTTGTGTGTAATTCAAACTTTAGTATGTAAGACCGTAAATCAAGATGTCACGCAGGAATTTTATGCAGTGTGTGACACATCTAGCAGCCTCACATGCCGTCACAGCATTTGCAGTTACAAGCCCTGATTCAAAATGGCTTTACAATGAATAGGCATCCAAGTTTCATGCTCAGGGATGTCTTAGTAGTTAAGAAGCAAACCGAGCACTTAAAGTCAGGCAACAATAAATCACAAAGAGCAAAATACGCCGCCACACTCCTCTCTGTGGGTTGAAACTGTAAAGCATGTTGCACACAGGGCGACTCTCCATAATCACTGATTATAGTAGAGTGCTGCTGCAAATGTGGTACAGTCAGTTTCATGATGTATCGGTTTAGCGTTAATGTTAAGCTATCAGCTAAAGAAGTAAGCATCTGTCACAGCAGCACAGCATCAGGTGCACACATGGGAATGCTCGATTAGAAAATCCTGAAATGATTTAAGTGGATTTCGGTTTCCTGGGTGTGGCGCAGAGCAGCTGAGTGAGTCACCAGGCACTTGCTTGACCACCACATAAAGACCGGGACCTAACAAGGTTTCTGAGGACTTTTATCCTCCTCGTAGCCTCCCTACAACGCCCCCCCCATAAAACAAATGCTATATGGCATGTGGGGGCTGACATGTTTTTTAGAAAGCATGATCCTGGTCGATATGTTTATTCTGGCAACACAGCTGTCTGTGTTTTGAATCCATCTGGAACCCCAGAAACCATGTTTATGAGCTACTTAGAGGTTATGGCAGGTTGGTAAAGGCATCTTCATCCTTCTGCAGTGCGCTTTAGAGGACACATTCTTGATGTGGCCACAAACTAATGCAGTTTAACCATCAGTAACTGTAAGGATTAGTCAGGCATATGATAGAAGAAACCACCAGTTTAGCCATGATCTTTTCAAATAAGCTCGGTTATGAAAAGGGATGGGAAGCAAAGGAAAAAAACTGAGGAGCTGAGTGGAATAAAAGTAACATGTGAAAAGCTTTCATGAACTCTAAATGTGTCCATCTTAATATATAATAACAAAAACATTTAATAGAGATGATAAATTGAACTGACAAAATCATAAAAACACAGCTTAATGCATACACTGATATCATAAATCAGTATCATATGAGACATTGGCACACAAGTATTGCCATATACAGCTGGACTTTAGGAGAAGTTTAAATCAGGAGCATTGTTTGAAGAAGTTTCTGTTTGAACCAATAAATCTGCAGCACATTGTTGGAAAGATTCAAAAACATAACCATTAAGTGAAGCTTGTTCACCAGCCCTAAGCACGCATGGGCTCCCTGCGTGACATCAACGTCCCTGTGGCTGCTATTTGGGCATGTTGATGGCTACGGCCAGCTCAGAGGGTGTGGACCATCATGAGTGGTCAACAGAGTTCCCTTAAAGACACTCTCCAGGGATGTGATCATGTTTAAATCAAGAGTTGTAGGCAGCTGTGGAATAAATCATCTGGGAGAGTTTTCTTCTTCAGAGAGGGCAGACTGTTTTCAGTTGTGACACAGAGGAGTGAGTGTCACATAGTGTGTGTGTATAGTGTGTGTGTGTGTGCATGTGTGTGCAAGTGTACACACACACACACACACACACACACACACACACACACACACACACAGAGGAGTGAGAGCTGGCAGCATTTACCAAAATTAGACATCCTCACCTTGGAGCCTCATTTTAAAGGCAGGTCAATATGACATGTTGCAAATATTCATCATTAGCAGTCTTGTTAAAGCAAACAGCAACTGTATTTTTATGATCCCATATGCTGTTTTCTTTACTTTGTTTGTTTTGTTTTTTAGTATTTTAGGTTCTTTTAATATGAAAACATAGCGCAATGTAACTGGTATCATATACATTGTTAATTTAAATCACAGCCTCAACCCTTTTTTTTTAACTTGACGTGTGGCGTTTCAGAAAAGAACCACAAGAGGGCAACATCTAACTGTGAACAAACCCTTAAATGAGCGAAAATGCTGCACACACGGTAACAACAGCTTCTGTAAAATATAAAAACATAAAAAGGATTTTCAGCTTACAGCTTTGAACAGCCTGATATGGTTTTTACACTGTTAGTGGATGGAAAGCTTCTATCTGCAAGCTGCAGATCATTGTAAGATGAATTGTCATTGTAACTGAAGTTAAGATCGGTCTCATTGATAGGCTTTGACTGATTACATTTATCAGTTGATTGTCACCAACAATAAAACGGCTAGAGATTTTTCATACATTAGATTTATGACATTTTGGATTACACTTATAACACATTAACAATTAAAAAAAGAGTTAAATATATATTTTTAAAAAACAACAACAATAAGTAAACAGATAAATAATGTTCGCACCAAACGTCGGTTTTTTGCTCCGCAGAGCATCTGTGAAATGCTCCTATAATGGGAAGCTTGGGAATTCCCTTCTTTACAGCAAACGGCAGCATGGTCGGAGGTCACTCTCTACACATCTCCATGGTAAAGAAAGAAAACATAACAGCTGTATGCAATCTGCACAGTGATGCCCTCACGTTAAATGGACCACCGCCTTGCTCCTGACGCACGACTGACTCAGCGAGGTTGCGTGAGCGTGAAAAAAAAAGGAGGCCCCCTCCTCTCCTACACTACACTTTAAAACTCATGCATTTCAAACCAAGTTCTGAGACAAAGAGAACTCCGGGTGGATATCACATAATTCTACATGAAGCCAGTGTTAACATCAGGTAGGGTTAAAAATATGTGGTTTCATTATTTTATTCATGCTCTTATTATTATTATTATTATTATTATTATTATTATTATTATTATTATTATTATTATTATTATTATTTGTTTTTGCTTGGAAACTAACATTCGACTTAAGTGGTATAATAATAGTATATAGTATTATCCTATATTGAAAGTTTTATATATAAAATAGAATTAGATACATTAAAATTAAACAAAAATTCTGATCAGTTACTTCAGCAAATTGTTATTTCTATATACATATATATGTTGTATCACTTTTTTCCGTATGCTTTCGCACAATAGGGCACAGTTCTTTTGATAACACCTTCTAGGATTATCAGCCGTGATAACTTGATCACTGGTTAATACAGTGCAATTATAGATAAATTCTGTGGTGTATTTCACCCCTGACTGTAGATTGGTAATGAGTCCCACAAACGTTTTGCATAAAACAGTTGTTTTCACTGAATTCTTTTTCTCCCAGTCTGAGTGTCTGTGTATATTCCAATGGATAAATTTAAAGGTATGACAAAGAGATCTGCTCAGAAAAGTTTCAGTCTTTAACCGATTTTTGTCATGTGCTGCTAAACAGAAAACATCTTTCACTGCAATGTGTTGACATTTTGACTGACAAGCTTTCTTGACTGTATTTAAAACTTTACTGATATGTGTTGTCTGTGTCTCCTTAGGTGAAATAAATGGAGCTAAAACCTTTATTGAAGAAGCTGGGTTCAATAATCCGCGCCATCCTCACTTTTGTCTTTGCTTTGGCCGTCCTGGGTGTGATGGTGTGGGCCTACGTTCAGGGCTATCAGCTGGTGTCGTCCATGTATGGCATCATCTCATTTGGCATTTATGGACTCCTACTCTCACTCCATGTGTTGGTCCAGAGCTTTTTTGCCTTTGTTGAGCACCAGCGAATGAAATCTCGAACAAAACCATGCTCCTATACCAAAACAATCGGTTTTACTATATCGGCTTACCAAGAGGACCCTGTTTATCTCAGAGAGTGCTTGAACTCAATCAGGGCCCTCAAGTATCCCCCTGAGCTGCTGCGCATCATCATGGTGATAGATGGGAATTCAGATGATGACCAGTATATGATGGACATGTTCAAAGAGGTGTTTGCAGACCAGGATCCGGGCTACTATGTATGGAATAACAACTATCATACCTGGGATCCCACCCAGGTCCAACATGATGAAGAAAATGGCTCAGGAATGGGCATTGAAGGGGGTTCTGATTATGTGGTAGGAGAGGATCCACAGAGAAAAGAAGTAGAGCGCCTGATCCAGACCAAGAGATGTGTGTGCATCATGCAGAAGTGGGGAGGCAAGCGGGAGGTGATGTACACAGCATTTAAAGCCCTGGGGTCATCGGTTGATTACATGCAGGTATCTACTTTTACTTAAGTGTTTTCTTTCTTATTTTTTTATGAAAATAAAAATGAAATGTTTCCAATTTTCAATGACGTTATGTCTCATTTCTCAGGTGTGTGATTCAGATACGAAGCTGGACCCTTTGGCCACGGTGGAATTGTGCAAGGTATTGGAGAGTAATCCCAAGTATGGGGCTGTAGGAGGGGATGTGATGATCCTCAACCTTAAAGACTCTTACATCAGCTTCATGAGCAGTCTCAGGTACTGGATGGCTTTCAACATCGAAAGGTCCTGCCAGTCCTTCTTCAACTGTGTGTCCTGCATTAGTGGCCCTTTAGGTAAGGGAACTCTTTTCTAGCTAAATAGTATTATATTAAAGGCTTAAAAGCACTGATGTAACTCATTGTAACCAACATCTTTTGAATTTGTCATTTCTTGTACTTGTTCATGCAGGTCTGTATAGAAATGATATCCTTCAGCAGTTTCTGGAATCGTGGTACAATCAAATGTTTCTGGGAACTCATTGTACATTTGGTGATGACAGGCATCTCACCAACCGTATGCTGAGCATGGGCTATGCCACTAAGTATGTTTTCTAGATATTATTAGGCACAGAAATTACATAATAGGACCCAACAAAGCTCAGTAGCTACAATAATGATCCTACAACAACCAAACAAGCAGGTTC